GGTCTTGCTGGCGTGGGCATAGCATTGAGTCGTAGAGCTGAACAATCTCTTCTAGACTGAACCATAGTAGATAGTCGCTTCTGCGCCGTTGCCTCTTCATCGTATCTGCCTATTCTCCCTCTGACTGCAGTTCAGACGAGGTTAAAGATGAGTTTTTAAGAAAGCTTTCGGACCTCCTCCAAAAAGCTAGGCGCTCTGAAATAGTTATAATGGCTGCTGACTTTAATGCTCAAGTAGGCAAACTAAGTGGAAATGAAAGACAACTAGGTGAATGTTATGGTGTCGCGGCTCAGAGAACAAACAATGGTGACCGTCTGTTGCAACTATGCTCAGACAACCGCCTGTTCTTAGCAAACACTAACTGTAGGCATAAGGAAAAGCATCTTTTGACCTGGAGACCTCCAAAGTCGTCTCAACGTTGGACGCAACGAGATCACATGGCTATCAGCCACCGATGGAGGGGTTCGATAGAAGACTGTCGCTCGTTCTGGGGCACATGTCTACATTCAGACCATGCCCTAGTGCGAGCGCGTATTTGTTTGAAGCTTACTGGGCGTAAGAAAGACAACGTAAGAAAGCCTCTTAGGGTTTTACTTAATGATAATAAGGCGAAGAATATATTTCAGGAACAACTAGAAAGACAGTTAGGCGACCATTTAATCGATTCCCATCCGGAAGCAGGATGGAATGATATCAAAAAGGCTGTGGAAACAGCAGTGATATCTGCTACTAAGGTTGACCATAAGGCTAGAATGAAGCCGTGGATCTCTGTAGCATCCACCGATCTGATGGATGCTCGAAAACTCATCCCACCTGGCTCTGAACATGATGAAGAACGAAGTCAACTTAGGCGCAGACTTATGAAAAGCCTACGTAACGATCGCGAACAGTGGTGGGTGGCGAAAGCAAAAGCGATGGAATAGGCAGCGGCGATAGGCAACAGCAGACAATTTTCCGACTTATCAAGGAAACTGGTATTAGGAATCCTAGTATAAGTGAGACTATCTCAGAAAATGACGGGACTACTATTTATTCTCAATCCAGGAGACTGGACCGATGGGCAGAACACTTTAGGGATCAGTTCAACTGGCCTTCAGCCACTCTTCGGTTACCCATGATCTCCAGTCATCCTGAATGGCAAATCGACGTAAGTCCCCCTAGTCTTAATGAAGTTGAAAAAGCGTTAGGAAATCTGAAGCGAGGGCGAGCTGCAGGTCCTGATAGACTGACCCCTGAGATATTTAAGGATGGTGGTCCAGTTTTAGCAGCTAGGTCGACCGAGATCTTAGGTAGAATCTGGGAACTGGACGTAATCCCATCCGACTGGTCTCAATCACTGATTGTCCCAATCTATAAGAAAGGACAGAAGTCTTCTTGTGACAATCACAGGGGAATCAGTCTAACTAATATAGTATCTAAAATATTGGCCTCAATAATACTTCGACGCTTAACGAAAGCTCGTGAAGAGCAGACTAGAGAAAACCAGGCTGGTTTTAGACCTGGACGTGGCTGTATAGACCACATCTTCGCACTACGACAGGTCCTGGAACACAGACACACATTTAGGCGTCCTACAATAGTTGTTTTCCTGGACCTTAAGGTGGCATTTGACTCAGTGGATCGTGAGGTTCTGTGGCAGTGTCTGTCATTGAAAGGTGTACCAAAGAAGTACATTAACCTTATACAAGCCCTTTACTCGAACACCACTGGTCGAGTGAGGGCTTATGGCGAACTGTCACCGGAATTCTCTACATCAAGTGGTGTCCGTCAGGGATGTCCACTCTCTCCATTCTTGTTTAATTTTATCATAGACATGCTCCTAGACATAACATTGTCCTCGTCTGAATTTTCAGGAGTAGACCTTCTACCAGGTGGCTCGCTTATTGACTTAGAATATGCCGATGACATTGTCCTACTTGGTGAAGATGCCGACAAAATGCAGAGTCTTCTGACTACCCTAAGCAACAATGCAAGCATGTTCGGGATGCGGTTCTCAACGTCGAAATGTAAAATGTTGCTTCAAGATTGGGTTTCATCGGCACCTGAACTAGTGATAGGGAGTGAAGTAGTCGAACGTGTAGACCGCCTCACTTATCTCAGCAGTCTCATCAATGCTGATGGCCCAGTGACTGACGAAATCTCAGCTCGGATACAGAAGGTTCGATTGGCTTTTGCCAACCTGCGTCACTTATGGCGTAGGCGAGATATCCGTTTGCTGACTAAAGGACGAGTGTACTGCGCAGTAGTTCGCTCCGTCTTACTTTATGGCTGTGAAACATGGCCGTTAAGAGTAGAAGATATTCGTAGGTTATTGGTTTTCGATCATAGGTATCTTCGATGCATTGCTCGTATATCCTGGGACACCCGAGTGAGCAACGCTGTTATTAGGAAACGGGTACTAGGTAAGAATGGCAGATCAACAGATGAAGTAGTGAAACTTCATCAGTTGAGGTGGTTGGGACATGTGTTGCGTATGCCCAACCACCGACTGCCTCGTCGAGCTTTGTTTTGTAGTGTAGGAATAGGTTGGAAGAAAGTTAGGGGCGGCCAAATCAAAACATGGCACAAATCCATGATGTCATTGACGAGTGGACTTAGCCATGTCGGTAATTGTCGACTACCTGGTTGGGGTCCGCCAGATGATAATAATCGATGGTTAGAGACCTTGAATGACATGGCTCAAAATCGTTCGCAATGGCGCCGGTGCATTTATTCTTTGTGTTCTCTCAAATCCTAATCTTCTGGATTCTTCAACAGCTCTAGTTTTGACTTTCTAAACTTTTGTCATTTAATCACACTTCTTGAATAATATCTTCTCATCCTAACCTCTCCGATTACTCCTAATACCTTTACTACCTCTTCTACTATTGGATTTGAATTGACAATTACATCTCTGTGCTGATGTGGTATGGCGACATGAACTGATGTTCTTACGTACGAAGTTCTACGTTGCATCTGATCTGATTTGATCTGATAAAAGTGAATGAAATTAATATCTAATTAGATGTGTCATCAGGCTTCATATTCGTAGATCGGTTTTCTAATACTAGATCCTTTATCGTACAAGACTTTTTGAAAATCTGTGCCCTATATAGAGGCCACAGTTAATCGTACAAACAAGAAATAATAAATTAAAATGGAGTAGAAAACAACTCATGACCAGACATGTACTATTAGTATGAACGATTTTGATTAGCAACAGTAAATAATAAACTGACTATATTATCCGTATATTCCTTTGGAATAACTTCGAAAGATTTGTTATTTTTGACATTACTAATTGTTCATTCTTGTATTTAGTTCGTAAATGTATTTAACACATGATTCCATTTTGCATAATAGTCTCTTCGCAAACTCAAATACTTAACAATACTCCTTGTGGTGCTTAAAATCACTAAACAATATCAATTTTAGTTATAGCACACTGATAAGTGCTAACTTAGTAATCAAAAATGAATGTCTGCTACTGGTTGAAATAAATTATGTAACCTATTTGGAATATGAAGTTTGCTATAGTACAAAATACGGTATCTTTTGGATGGTAGCTCAGACACTAACATGGAAAATTTTTTTGTCCTGTCAGTCATTTAGAATGTAAACTGAACAGTCATATAAACCTATTTTCACTTGTATAATTATATTTAAATGTAGAAGTAAATGGACTCTTTTTTCAATTCTAAATAACAGAACTTAAAAAATCATGATTCTTAAGAATTAACGAATAATCTACTTACAGGTTAGTCTACAACTTAAGTTTTCCTGAATATTAATAGAGATAAAATCTAGTATAAGTTTTCTTGATAGTTTCACTAATGCCCAGTAGATTCCTAACCATCTCGTAACTAGACAAAAGACATGATGAAGCTAAAGTAATTTATCATTAATAAATAAAATTTACCATACTCTTTACAACCTTTTATATTATTGAGTATAAGTATAGTAATGATATAAATAGTTGCTTCTTGTTACTTAAGTATCATATTTTACTGTGCTGTTTTTTATCGAATTAAAAATGATCTACCAATACTACGTTGTATATGATCGTAACTCATGGAACTTTTCTTTATGTATGATAGAAGTAGTTTAAATCAACGACAGAATTAGTGTATTAAAAATACTTCAGATAAACTAATCTGATAGACCGATAAATAACTCAATACGTGTTGTATTTATCCTTGCACGATACCATCTGGATTGATAAGACTGTTTTAGAGAGCAAATATCATCTTGTAAAATTTTGGGCTTGAGATATTGCGAAAACATTCTTCGACAGCATTTTTAAAACTGATATATTTTTGCGCGGATTCACACTGAACTTACGAAAATGATAGGTCAGTTAGAATTCAATTTACTATATCTTTCTATTGGAAGGAAGCTGCCTTGATATGCCTCTACTTTGTTAATTAGGGTGGGTTTAGGAAATGGGATAAATTTTACAGCACTTTCTACCATAGGATGTACATTTTGACCAGGATAACGTCCTTATATATAAACGTCTTTTTATATAAACAAATATAACAACTTCATAATTTGTGACATGATGTCAAGTAAAATATATGCTCCCAAAAGGCAGCATATGATGACTAGTATTGATCACACCAAACCCGCTGATCAAACAGCCGTCGATTCCGATCAATATTACGGACAACCAATACCATTAGATTACATGCTCCTGTGTCTGAGCTCTTAACTATGTAATGTTTCCAAGTATGGATACTAAGCTTTGATCTTTCTAAAAGTACAAGAATGCCAATGCATTGAATATACCAGCTAATACAAAAAAGACTAACTAGTCATCATCATCGACATCAAATTAGAGAAAATATCGAGACAATTTTACAAGTGATGAAATGGATTCACTATTAATTTACTCATTTTTATTGTATCTTAATTCTTACATTTCTCTTGCGATAATTTAACTTAAGCACTGAATAGAGGAGCTATATATAACGGGCTAAAACCCAATATATACATTAAGAATTCTCTTGTTTTTTATATTTACATATTTATTTTTATTGTTCATTCAACATTAAATTACTGTGAAACGAGTTAATGTGTGCATAAACTCACAAATATCTTCCTATGTCTTTGGCTTTTCAGCCTTCTTCGGAAGAAGTACTGCTTGTATATTTGGTAAAACTCCACCTTGTGCTATTGTAACTCCACCCAATAACTTGTTTAATTCTTCATCATTTCTGATGGCTAATTGTAGATGACGAGGTATAATACGTGTCTTCTTATTGTCTCTTGCTGCATTGCCAGCTAATTCCAACACTTCAGCAGCTAAATATTCTAAAACGGCTGCTAAGTAGACTGGAGCACCAGCTCCAACACGTTCAGCATAGTTGCCCTTTCTTAGAAGTCTGTGAACACGACCAACGGGGAACTGCAGTCCAGCACGAGCTGATCGACTTTTTGCCCTGGCACGCGTCTTACCACCTTTTCCTCGTCCGCTCATGATGCCACGCTAAGAATATTTGCTTAGTTAATAGCTTATGTTTAGCAAATAAACTGAATTTCTAATGCTGTCAAGGCCCATTAGCTATTGATCGAAATAGCATAGATTATTTAAGTTCAGCCAATTTACTATAATGCGATTGGTCATTGAATAATTACGTAGACAGACATTCAATCAACATTCTTTTATCGCAACATTACGTACAGATATATTATTGATTTTTTGCTAATCACGATATCTACAGCTGTCTGTTTTCTAATAAGTCAGTACACTTACCATAATCTTTATGGTAGACAGACATTCATTTGCCTATGTAATGTTAGCTGAACCACTCAACATCAGAAGTGTTTGATCAGTTTCTTTTAAGTCAACATATTCTGGTATACTTTTTAGTAATTCCTGGTTCATTTAGGGTTTCATCTCAACAGTTATCGTACTTAATTACCGCTAGATACTCCAAACTATACATTATTCAAAAATGTTATATTTAATCTAGGGGATCACTCAGTCAGTTACTACGGCGTAATCTGAGATGTATACCCAACCTAAATGGAATCAGGTACATGGATTTAGTATTTTATCGTTACTATTGTGATTAATTGTTGACATCGGATACAAAAATTTTACTTGCCACTATGTGACGGAATAGGACTGATACGACTTGACGCGTGTAGAAAAAGACAGTAGTGAAGTCTTGTTTATGTACCAGCAATAGATCCACTACATCTTCAACCACTGCATTTACTCTACTGCCAATTCCTAAAACTGTAACGAAAACACAATGTTATTTACGACTGACATAACTCTTTAATCATCAGATTCGAATCCATCGACTTTGTAGAAACCAACATTAATTATCAAGGTAATTTATGTGTATGAAATCAACAGATTAACTGTTTCAGCAATCAGATGTAATTACATCACTGAGTTGCATTCCGGTCACTTCTTGCTAAAACCGATTACAATCAGCCAAATATAAAAATCGCTAATATTTTTAACGAGATATATTTTGGTTGATTCTATCCCAACAGCATTAATTAATTTTCTTACGTAATATCCTTTGAGAATTTAATGCGATCCTACATTTGGTTCCGCAACACTATGCGTAAAGGTAATCCCCAGAAGCCATGTAAATTAAAGAAAGCATAACCTGGTATGACGCAAATCAATTTACTATGCTACGAACTACTGTGTCTAGCAACTACATGATTTTTGATCCCAGGTATATTGATTCTGCAGGTGGTGAACAATATTCACTCGTTAATACAATTCTAAATATTAAGAAGAACAATTCGTAGGAAAAAGTTCTGACAGATTCCTGTTGCATCTGACCATTCTTAATAAGCACTATATGTCGACTAATGTTCACGAACATAAACCACAACTTTAACTCGACGTATACAGTTCCCATAAATTTATTCGGCTAAAGAACAAATAAGGATTAATAGCGTGAAAATGACACCACTAGAAATAGTAACGGTTCTTAATTGTTCTTTTCCTACTTAAAAATCCTGAAAGAAATTCCATGCGGAAAAAACTCGCGAATGAAAATTAAGATCCTATGAATATCAAGCACTAAATTGAATGACCCAGCAGATACAACTAGAATGAGGAAATCGATTGCCTACATTTGTCAGCATCGGACAGATGATAGCGCCACAATCTACAATTAGCGTCATCGAACGCGCAGTACACTTTCTTTAGGATTATATAATTGCGCTGAATTTCGGATATGCACAGTCAAACCAAACCATGCTTGGTGGTAGTCAATCTCGGTAATATTTGTTAAGACATAAGTAAGAAATAGTATGTACAAATCTAATATATAGCGAGATAAAGATTAAAGTATCGCAACGGCGATGACTGCTCATCATTCAATCGATGGAGAAATTTATAATTCATTTCCGTAATTCAGCCACCATTCATCCTATGTTCGAAATCCAATCGATGCATGAATAATCAGAACTGATTAAAATTCATTAGAGAAAAAACATTTCAAATACAAGAACTCAAAGGATAGGCTAAGAAACTATCAAGGTGAAATGAACCCTACATCACAATCTAGGTCATGTTAGAAGAATGGGCCAATCGAAAAGTGACATATTCTGGACCAACTAAAATTGAGCAAAATAAACGATCGAAATAATCCTACCCTGATTGGTCAATATTTATCGTTTCAAGGTATATAAGAATAGCTTCAGCAGACAATCAGCGTCATCGTCTCTCGGTGTTTCGCAATGGCAAGAACCAAGCAGACTGCTCGTAAATCAACCGGTGGTAAAGCCCCACGCAAGCAACTGGCTACCAAGGCTGCACGCAAAAGCGCACCAGCAACCGGTGGCGTGAAGAAGCCCCACAGATATAGGCCTGGAACTGTTGCCTTACGGGAGATACGTCGTTACCAGAAGAGTACTGAGCTCTTGATCCGCAAGCTTCCTTTCCAACGTTTGGTCCGCGAAATCGCTCAAGACTTCAAAACTGACCTTCGTTTCCAGAGTTCAGCCGTCTCAGCGCTCCAAGAAGCCAGTGAAGCATACTTAGTTGGATTGTTCGAGGACACTAACTTATGTGCCATCCATGCTAAGCGTGTTACGATTATGCCAAAAGATATCCAACTTGCTCGACGCATTCGAGGTGAACGAGCCTAGATAAGTGTCAATGTAGAGGAACCCAGAGAACGATGCAAAGGCCCTTTTTAGGGCCACTACAAACTGATTATTTCTTTTACCTCTTATTTCCCTGGTTTGGCATTGGTATTGTATTAGTGTGCTTTAAGTCCGAAGGTCGCATACCGTTAGCTGCGAGTTCATATCGCGAGTCGTGTCCATTGTATTGCCGCCCCACTTCTGTCAATATTAGCATCAGCGTACCGATCACCTGCTATCGTATGGGAAGAAGCTAGTTTTTCGTCACGTCACGCGTCCGTTAGTCATGATTATCTGGGTTTTTGTTGCTCTCTGTTTTAATGTGGCATTTGCAAGTTGTCCTCGTCACTTTGATGTGGGACTTGGTTAGTTCGTGCTTGAGTGGGATATACCGACTGTCCATTTCAATTGAGGTCTGTTCTGACAGATTAGTGGAACGATATCACTCAGTCTGATGCGTGTGATTTCATTGCGATGACGCTTTTGTGCTGTTACCCGTTTACATACATCCAACTGGACGTTGCGAAACAGGTCAAGCCGAGAACGTAAATGGAAATGGTCTGCTTAAGTAGAAAGTGACCCTTAGCATAATTTACAATCCCTTATAAACTGTAGTACTTCTCATGTGTTAGCAAATTTATCCGAAAATAAGGGTCAGTCCTGCGGTTATCAAAACTGGCTATAACATTAAATATTAAGGAACTGATACCAGTGGACTTGGAACTCAGTGAAGAGTAAATGAAATTTAAATGTAGGCTAACAATGTTCACCCAATGATCATGAGTGATTTTGGGCAATGGTAAATACACTAGTATAACAGTCACCAAGAAACAGTTTCGTGGAATTATCAAACTGGTTGTTTTCAAACGTTTCTGCATACCAGAAATCCGTAATCTATCCCCAAACCAGTCTATTAGGATGATCAGTTGGATATTTCGAAAAACAATTCAATTGACTTCCAAGCCACATGCAACAATCCTACTTGTAACTATATCATTTATGTGAAGAAATAGCTCCAGACTAACTGGAACGAACAAACCATTTAAATTTATATGACGTGATTGTGTCCATGATCTCCATGACCACAACACCATAGCTTCCAACCTAATAATTTACTCCGAAATTGTAGTAGTTACGGCAACTAACTATAACCGTTCTGAGGCTTCCGGTATCTATCAGCAAAAGTGAATTTCTCGGAAGTAACAGACTTTATACTTCGCGTCCATAAAGAAGACATCTAAGCAAACACCCGTACAACTAAGATGGAGAAACGTCTTCATAGTACATCCATTGAATACTAATTGAAAGACAGTTATATTCCCATTACGTCATCAGAACGAAAAAACACCGCCCCCAACAATAACAGTGAGACCCGAATATTACTACTACTAGGAATACTATTTCTAGAGTCCCTGAACAGCCAGCTACGTTGGAAAAGTCGTACACCAAACCACAATGTGTCTCGTTCTCCTAAACATAATCACCGAAAAAACAAATCATTCTCCAAAGTCGATCAGATCAACTAAGATATGTACGAATGCCTCTCTGAGCTATGCGTAAATACACGCACTAAGAATAAATGTTAGTAAAATTTTTAAATCCCATAAGAGACGAAAATAAATCCACTAAATCACAAATATGCCGTCACTCTATCACTCATGAAGCGTTTATCACACGAAAACACGCATATGCAAAGTCCTTTTTCCCTAAACTGATATCTTGTCTACATAATAGTTTACTAGTCGATACGTCTTTATTTGTGATAAATGCAAACAAAGGGTATGAAAAATGTTCTTGCGCATCCATGTTTCACTCGAAGATTATAGACTGGTCTTTCGACGGTCAAGGTCATCCTTCGCATTGTCCTAGTATGAGTCATCGTGTGGTCATCAAATTTGCTGTATTTCTGCAGAGAATCATGGTGAATTTAATTCTCCACACTACGAGAATTTTTCTGCCCTCTTATTGCTAAGCTGAAATGTCAGTAAAATGTCTCATTGAGAAATACAGATCATGCCCCGAGAAATACTTTGATTTAAAAGGTTCCTCACAATGACATGCTGTTGAGTTTGATTATTCTGAGTTAATCTTCCTAATATATTGTAAGAACTCTTATCAAAACCTAAACGACTAGCTCCACAACAGTTAGGTCCCGAAAATGCAGGAAGAATTTTATATTTTTGAAATTCCTAATAATACTACATAATTTTAGTTTCTGGTTATTTCCTTTAGGATGCTCTGACCAAACTGTTCAGCCGAACTTTGAACTTAGTCCCAGTTTCAGATGCTGAGATTTTCACGAGTACGGTTTCCGTTTCAATGTATCAACAATTTGTTTTTCGTCTATTCTCAACACTATTTACAAATAGGAGAATACTCGTAGACATTTTACTATCAAGTTTTAGTCTGATCGTGAGGAAACTCAGGTCTATTCATTGAATTCGAGAAGACTTGTAATAACATTAAACGTACATTGATTACAATGATTCCAACTGTACCCAGGTTGCTCAGTATGTTAC